CATTAATAATTTATTCATATGTTGAATTTTTAATCGATTTGAGCTTGGGTTTATTATTAATAAATATCAATTTAAACATAATTTATCTATTTCTAAACTGTATTAAATTCTTTTTTGCATGTATTTATTAGTTTGAGGCTTCTTTATGTGAAGTTCGTTTCATTTTCTAGTAGTATTAAACTGATAAATTTCTTTAAAAATTTACATTTTAATTGGCTAATTATCACAGGAATTCACAGGTAGATCTACAAAAATTGACTAATCATATGAATGTCTTCCTATGAGGTAGGGCTATGAGCAACAGTACTCTACTCTTGTACTTGTGAGTACCTAGTACTAAACCTGCCAATTATAATTCAGGTTTTACCGCTTTTTATTGCTATGAATAAACTGCAATATATTATACAAGAGATTATCTTTATTACTATATAAATAAAAAAATTGACATTTTTATTTTTTTTTAGTTTAACCCAATATTAATAATATGGATATCTTAATTACAATACATGTACTAATTACCAATATATAATTACCAACACACTAATTACCAATGCACTAATTATATGCACTAATTACTAACGCACTAATTACATATACTAATTACCAATACACTAATTACTAGCACTAATTACCAACATACTAATTACTAACATACACACTAATTACCAGTATTCTAATCTACCAATGCATGCGTTAATTACCAGCATACTTAGTTACCAACACACTGAGCTACCAATGCATTGAATTACCAACCAAAAAAAGTAGAAGGCTATTAAAAGCTATAAGCAAGATATTAGTATTGCTGTGACTTCTTACTTTTATTATACTAAAACATTAAAAGCTAATAATACATTTACTACTGATATAAATCACAAAGTCATGAAAGATTTCACAGAAAATAATGCCTATAATTATGATAATTATGATACTAATGATATAGTGATGGGTGTCAACTCAGTTACTAGCTTAACCACTACCTTTAAAAGTATTAATAGTGCAACTAGTGAAACTGTTAGTAAAGACACTAGCAAAATTATTAACAAAATCATTAGCGAAATTACTAGTAAAACTACTAGCAATACTGCTAGTGAAATCACCAGTGAAATCACTAGCAAAATCACCAGTAAAGCTACTAGTAAAACTACTAGCAAAACTATATTAAGGTTTATGTCTTCTATTTGAGAAAAAATTTTTTTATTAAAAAAAGAACAAAAAGCTAAATATAAATATTATAAAGGTTTACTTAGTTATAAAAAAGGAGCTGAAATATTTTACCTTCGATGCTATCTTAATTTATACCAAAAATATAAAAGATTATTATTTAATAAATTTAACCCCAATGGGTTTAATTTAGAATTTAATGGACAAACAAAATTGAGGTTTAATATAAACCAAATATCTACAAAAGAGTTAGTTAGAAAAGACATAGCTAATATAGTAGTTCTGGATGAACTAAGTTTTCAATTTGTGAAAAGCGGGGCTTCTGAAAGCTAATTAGGGGACTATTACCTGATTTTGTTATTAGTGCCGATTCGATAAAGCAAGACATTATGAACACTTATAATAAAAAAAAAACACTAGTTAAGAATATACTTCAAAATGCCAAAAGCAAAATCTCTCTTATCTGCAATTATTGGATATCTCTCCAACAGTTTGTATACTTGGCAATTACTATTTATTTTTTTAATAAAGAATAGAATCTTATTTCTATTATACTGTTATTTATATTAATTTTTTATCTTTACACTAGTATTAACATTATCAATTGTATAAAGAGTGAGATAGTTAGGTGGTCTATTACTACTAAGGTAATTAGATAAATTATTGATTTTATTATATTAATTTAGAGTTTGGTAAATCAATATAATATATATAATTTATTATAGTTGCAAACTATTACTCTTAACAATACAGCTTCAAATGAAGTTATAATCCCTGAACTAGCTAACAATATATTTTAAAACTCATTTATAGAAATTAACAAAGATCTTTTTTATAATTACTATTTTGCTCATATTTTAAATATTATTGTAAAAGATGGATTAAAAGAAATTTCAGAGGTTATTAAAAAGGGGCTCTACCCTTGTTTTAAAGTTCAGAATCTAGTACCTATACCTATTCTATATAAGCTAGAGTACTTTCCGAACTACTTACAGAATATCCACAAGTGGTTATAGGCTAACTGGCTAATACGAGTATATAATATTATATAAAAAAATTATTACAAAGAAAGCTAAAAAGTTAACTTTAAAATAAGACCAGATTGATCTTGCTTAGTACTTTATATATAATAAACAATGCTTTTTTTAATATCTTATATAGCAAATTTAAAGTTATATATATAGTTACTATGCTTTGCAAAAAAAATGTAATCTTTGTAGAATCACAATATTGAGAATTGGTAACTAAAAATTCAAATACTGTATAACCGATTGAAAAATATATTTATGCCTACAATTAGATTTTAAGAACATGAGAAAATGTTGTTATTATACAACTAATTTTACATACGGCATGAAACATATAAAAAAATTATTTTACAATACTTGATTAGTCTTGATCAGTTTGCTAGTACATGTAATCCAACACTATTTTATTATAGTGTTAGATTATAATTATAATATATACTTGTAGACTGATCAAGACTAATCAGGTATCGTAAAATAATTTTTTTATATGATTCACACTGTGTATAAAATTAGTTGAATAACAACAATATTTCTTTCTGTTGATTTAAAATGCATCACCTAGGAAGTAAAAAAAGCCAAATGTATTTAAAGATAGAAATAAAATTGATTTTGATCTCTATGATTAATTTTTTGATTAAATGATTGTGATTGTGTCACAATTGCTAAACCAGCCAATTATTGTAAATTTAACTTTGTATCAAGCTCAGATTTATAATAAATTAACTGGCTTTAGCAATCATAATCATAATCACAATAATCAAATTAGAAAATTGATTGTTATATTTTTAAAATTTACAGAATCTTACAGTATTGTGGTTTAAAGAGATCACATCTTTTTGAAATACAATAAATATTTGAATTTATTAATAAATTTGTAATCAAAAAAAAAATCAAACTCAATACTTAACAAACTATACAAATATTTTTAAAAAAGCAATTTAATTAAAATTTATTAAAATTGCACTTTATTACTTTACTATCAATAAATGGTTCTATAATATATCTATAAATTCTAACCAAATTTTTCAGACACTTCTAGCCAATCTCTTTGACACATCAATACAATTATTGTGTCTGGATCCAACAAAGTGCAACTATTATCAATAATATAACCTGCATAACTAATTGCTTATTTAGAAGCAACACTAGTAGCAGGTGTAGAAAAAAAGTCTTGAGTTATCACAAATAAAGTAGAAAACTGGTTTTTATTACATTTCTACTATTTAAAAATATTGGTAGTTCTTGTTGCAATTTTTTTATCCAAATACCATTTGACTTCATAAAAAGAATTATTTTCACTAGCTTGTATTTGCTTTATCATATATTCAAAAAAATTGTTAACATGGTTCTCAAACATCAATATATTATCATTTTCAGCACTAACAATAACCTTATTATTATTTGGCAAATATTCAATAGTTGATAAAGAATAATATGTTTGAAGATATATATTTTCAAATCTAATTTTTTTAAATATTAGTATAAAATAATTAAAATCTATAAAACCAAGTTATTAAAATTAATAAACATATTTCATTTAAATAACTTGTAATTTTTCATTAAGATTATAAAATTCCAATTTTTTCTTTTTGCAATAATAATATTTAATAAATTACATTTTGTAACAGAGATCAAGAATACATACAATCATGTGTAAAATACTATAATTTTTCTAATACTTATTAAACTTCCCAATTATAAGTTGATACATATTATGAATAAAACTATTTGTATAGGATTTTATATATAAAAGGTGAGTACAGATATTTCAGATTGAAGCGAGAGTACTGTTAAGTGTTAGGTAAGAACTTGCTAACGCTTTTAAAGTATCTATTTTTTGGTAAAAATTAAAAAATAAATCAAAAAATAAAATTAAATTGTAATCTTATTATTTATTTATTATTAGTTAAATAAAATACAGTATATTCTTATATACAAAACTTGTTCAAAAATTATATATAAGAATCGAATAATCTGCCAACCTACTTATTAGAGTTTTACTAAAAAAACTTACAATCATAAAATAGTTTTAAAATACTGCAGATAGCTTTTGCATTTTTCCAGAGAATGTTTTATCTCTATTTTTCATTCTGACAACCACATTCTTAATTCCAATAACTGATTACAACATCAAATAAGTAGCAATTCAACACGTCTCATAGTCTAATAGTGAAATTATAGGCTTTATAGATTCAGATTCGCAAATATCTAAAAATATTTAACACCACTTCAGTAATATATATATTGCCTTAGTGCAACTACGAATCTAAATAGATTTGACAATTTTATTATTTTTATATACTACTTAATTAAACTTTAATCAAATTTTTATATAGATACCACAGATTACCAAATGATTTATACTCAAATAAATTGTTTGATAACTCATAGTACCTCCTAAATAGACATACAATTATCTTTTTAAGTTGAGCCCTTTTATAGGTAGATACTGCTAGTACCTAGCCCTACTTGATCCTTGCAAAAGCCTACCTCTTAGCAGTTTCTACATTTCTTTTATTAGAATTTTAGTCAAAACTTTTGTTAATGCCAAAATTATCTATTAACTATAGTTATATAGTCTGAAATATATTTTAAATTTAAATAGAATCAAATAATTTGATATTTATTCATGAATATAATTTGTTGATCCTAATACTTATATACTAAGTTAATATAAAAAGTAAAAAAGGTTTGAAAAATATAAAAGTTATTTTTCTTATAGTAAATACTCAATATTGTAAAGATTCAGTATATTAATAATAAAGATAGTAAACAGTATTATTAAACTTTAGCTCGATATAATAAAGTATAATCACTTAATATAAGGTATAGTAAAAAATCTTTTTTTAATCTAATAACTTCATTATAAAGAGAGTTATTTGTAGTTAATTCTTATAAATTTATAGTAAATTGCTAATAAAATTATAAAACACTTATGGAGATTGTCTTTCTCAACTGTGGTATATACTAGATTTTACTTTTTGTAGATTAAATAATGATTTGTATTTAAGCTAGTAGCCAAAGTATAAGCAAAAATATAAATAGATAGATAAATGTCAATTGCTACACTATATAAAATAGTAAAATCATAAATAGTTTTTGTCTCAGAATCTGGCTATGCTAATGAATAACTTCTTTTTTTTTTAATAAAAAAAAAAAAAAATAGATCAATATATTCTTGAAAGTTTAGACTTGCTGCTTTGTAAGTAACTATTCAAAAAGCTTGCATTATTCAAAGTGTTATTTAAAGTCTAAAAACTGTAATCTGCTAGATTTTTCTTATTGATCTACAAAATCTTGCCTCATCTATTACTAGTAATTTTTACTGATTGATAAACAGATTACGAATTAAAAAATTTTTACTATGAAAATGATTGACATCCAATAGAAATTCGTCAAAAATTATTTATATCACATGATCTGCCAATTTTTTCAACTATCTCTAAAGCGCCACCAAAATTTCACTCACACGTGATCAGAATCCAATTATATTTCAAGATTAGGTATAACGTTACACAATCAGAAAAATTCAAAACAAATATTTGTTTTGACAAAAATTGTTCATTTCTCAAAAATGGTATATTAAATCACCTTTTGCGTTATTAACAAAAAGTTTTTCTTGAGCGATTTTACTATTTAAAAGCTCAAACCCAAATCCTAATATAGGTACTTACCCTAACCTAGGGATGTTAATTGGTCCTTTGGGATCAAATCCTAATCGGTCCTTACCAATCCTTTCAAGGATCGGTAAGGACTTGATCCTTAAATCATATGAGAGCTATATAGAAATTGGATTCCAGATCGATCATAGGACCCAGTCCCTTCAAAAATCCTAGGACCCAGTCCCTTTAAGAATTCTAGGATTTGCATTAGACGTTGTTAGAACAGCCCTCTGCCTTTGGCCTTGCACTACTGGTAAAGAATATTTTTAAGGTATATGCCTTGATTTTGGATAGTTTATGGCTTTCGGTTTGTGTATTTGATGATAAGAGATATGATTTTAAGCTCTTTAACAGAAAAATAGCATGTTTAAGGCAGTAAGAAATTAACCATTTCTGGATTTAAATAACTATAGGTAAGCAAACTTACGTTATAGAAGTTAAATCACTGAGTATTTAATAATAAGAAAAGTATACTCATGCTTCTAACTAACTCAGTTTGTTGACGCTCTTGACCAACTTTGTTATGATTTAGAAAATTTTAAATAGTGTCAAAGGTGGTGCATCTTACATATTCCTTGCTAATAACAAAATTGTTTATCTCCACATTAAGAATAAAATAATAGGTAAGTTAAGCTTATAAAAGTTAATTTATTTTGTATTTAATAACAAAAGAAGTGTAACTTATACATGTTAACTACTTTTATCTTATCAGCTCATGTAAAAGAAATTTTAATCAGTAAATGAATCATTTTTTAAATAATAACAGTGTTCTTGTTTCAAAATAAACTATTCCATTTTTTGATATAAAAGCTAGAAATCTAATATTTATCAAGTTAAATTTTTAATAACAAAGGCAATAGCCTTCTCTAGTATAGTAATGGAGGCAATATACTTTCTCTAGTATAGTTATAAAGGTGATATGCTTTCCTAATATAATAATGTAACAGAGGCGAAATGCCTTCTCTAGTGTAGTAATACCTTTTCTAATGTAGTTATAAAGGCGAATATGCCTTTTCCAGTATAGTGTAGTAACAAAAACAATATGTAACAAAGGCAATATGCCTTTTCTAGTGTAGTTATAAAGGCAAATATGCCTTCCCCAGTGTAGTGTAGTAACAAAGACAATATATAACATGCTTTTCCCAGTATAGTGTAGTAACAAAGACAGTATATCTTTTCCAGTGTAATAATATGTATAGTAAAAAAGCTAGTATGAAATTCTCAGCAAACAAAAGCCATACATTTTAACAAATAATATGTTTAAATTTTATTTAAAAACCTTTTGCAAAAAAAAAAAAAGTAAAAAAAAAATCATAGCAACAAATGAATTT